AGGACTTCCACAGGGCTGCCCACAGGACAACTCAAGGGGGTTCCCAGCCACTTCGATAATGAACTATGTATTTGGACATATCTCCAGAATTGATTACGCTGCAACTTATATAATTCCACAATTTTATCAAAGCTTAAAAAACATTTAGTCCCACAGTCAAATAAATCTGATACATTAAGGATGCCTGCTTTACGCCACTGTAGCCAGTCAACCGATGTCCCTCCAATTAAAATTCTTTTATTCCCCCATAAGGTTGCCGAAGGTGATTTAATAAAGTCCCAGCGACCTGCCCTATGTAATTTACACCACAATGTCTTCGCGTTTGCAATTATAGGATGGGTAGTTTTATGACTGGTATCAAACAGCTCCCTCCAAGGAGAAATACCGCCATTAACTTCCGTCTCTATATGGGACCAGATGGGTTTAACTGGTGCAGTAGGTAACCAAGCTCTAAGTTGTTTCACGTTCATCACCCAATAATACCATTGGAAATTAGGCAATGAAAAACCTCCTTGTTTTACACTCGCTTGAAGTTTCCTAATACTTAAACGATGTGGTGAACTACCCCAAAGAAACTGCCGGATCAAAAAGTCTAGATCTTTGAAATACTTATCTAGAATGTGTAATGGAATATTAGATAAAATATAAAAGATCATGGGTGCAGTCATCATCTTAATACAACTAATTTTACCCCATATTGTGAGACGCACTCTGGACCATCTACCAAATTCCATTTTTATTCTTTCAATCATTGGCTCCATATTTGCTTGAACCATCTTAGTGTAATCCGAGGTAATTTGTATCCCTAAATACCTCAAACCATTCACGGACCACCGAAACTCCCACTGTTTAAATAAAGTATGGGGGCAGTGTCCTGACATAGGCATTACCTCTGATTTATCCCAGTTGACACGATACCCTCAAAGCAGCGTAAAGCTTTCTATACATTCTAATAGGGCTGGAATTGACTTCCCAGGCTGGGTCATAAGTAACAACATATCATCTGCATATAATAGAAGCTTATGTTGACTATTACCCATCGAAATTCCAAATATATTTACATTATTTCTCAGTTTTTGTGCCAGAGGCTCTATAGCAATTACAAAAAGACCGGGGCTAAGGGGACAACCCTGTCTTGTGGATCTCTGTAAAAGGAATAGGTCTGATATGAGCCCATTCGTCAATACTCGCGCTGAAGGCGAATCATATAATATCTTTATCCACCTAATAAAATTGTCACCAAAACCGAACTTTTCTAATGTCTTAAACAGATAATCCCACTCAACACAATCAAAAGCTTTTGCAGCATCCAGCGATAGGGCCACTGTTGGATATACTGAATCATATACATAATTTTGCAAATTAACCAACCGCCTAATATTATCTGAACCATAGCGGTTTGGAACAAAACCAGATTGGTCTGCATGAATTATTTTCGCCATTACTGCTTTTAATCGGCCCGCTAAGACCTTTGCCAAGATTTTTTGGTCAGAATTCAGCAAAGATATGGGGCGGTAACCACTTGGGTCTAAAGGGTCTTTCCCAGTTTTAAGGATAAATGTTATAAGTCCAGAGTGCATTGACTGAGGTAATGAGCCTACTTTGAACGCCTCATTATAAACATCGAGCAACAAGGGACTTAACATATCTTCAAATGCTCTATAGAAATCCAATGGTAACCCATCTAATCCTGGAGCTTTATTAAGTGGCATACTGTTAATTGCACGGGTAATCTTCTCCACTGTAATTGGAGCATCTATAATCTGCTGGTCAGTAGTAGAAAGCTGTGGCAGGTTTAAATCAGTAAAAAATGCTTCGAATTTCTGTTCATCTAAGCTACCTTGCGTAGAATAAAGATTATTGTAAAAGGCCCTGAATCCATCATTTATATGTCTAATAGAAGTTGAAATAACCCCATCTGATTGTCGTATGCCTGGGATATGGTTCATAGAGATACAACATTTCTAATCATTTTTCTCTCATTTGTCTCACCTAGGAAGAAAATGCCTCGGAAGAAGCTGGATGAAAATCTGACAAAACCTCGCAATCTTTACGGACTCTACAAGTGAACATCTGTCTAACAGGCGATGCTGTGAGAAGAGAGATATGGATGTTGAAGAATTACCCATGAGCTACATTTATAAGTTTTTCCTTGGTTTGATGCTGATCCTGTAACTGTAGTGCTTTGGCTTCCCAACATCATTCGAAATAGGGAGCAAAGCCAAGTTACAGTCAGAACCTGACTAAGCTTTCTTGTGGACTTCAGAAAAGATAAGGGAGAGAGAGAGAGCAAGCAAACCTTTGTATCTGTTGTCATCATCTTCCTACGCACAGTTCCCTGGTTTGCTTTATTGAAAAGGAGGAGCCCATTAAAGCATTTGATAGATAGGAAAAGCTTGGTCTGAAGGTGTGGTTGCTGGCTGGCTGCTGGTTGGAGATGAGATAAGAGCGTGGGGAAACGAGAGAGACAAGACGTGCCTTTCTGACGGGAGATGAATACAAATTAGGATTTTGCCCTCCTGCAGCTACACCAGTTAAGCGAATCAATACTGAAGTGGAGAAATGGTCAAATTCGTCTCTGATTCATGCCAACTAATCATCAGTATCATTAGTTCTAAACCAAAACTGTGGAATTAGTTGCTTGCTAACGGTTAATATGAAATAATTCTTTTGAATAAAAGGGTTGACGAATTAAGGAGAGATCCGTTTACAAATGCGGTTTCAAAAAAGTTAGAAAAAAGAACATTAAAAGACGGACTTCTGGTCAAAACCATCAGTGCCACACCATCATGGCCTTTTTCAGTGTTACACCTGAACTGATCCGTGTACAGTTGTAGATTATAGATATGAGACTGGATTCAAAGCAGGTTTAACAGAGTGGAGGCGCGATGGAGCTGGACAACAGCTCACTGGACTACTCCATTAGAAACTTCACAGAGATTCCTAACACCACTACAGCACCACCCTGGAGCGAGGCCACACTCCTCGGTTTCCAGGTCTCTCTGTCTGCTCTGTTAGCCATTGTCACCTTGGCTACTGTCCTTTCAAATGCCTTTGTCATCGCCACCATCTTTCTGACCAGGAAGCTCCACACACCTGCCAACTTCCTAATTGGCTCCCTCGCCGTCACAGACCTGTTGGTTTCCATTTTAGTCATGCCAATTAGCATCGTGTACACTGTCAGCAAGACCTGGTCGCTGGGGCAGATTGTTTGTGACATCTGGCTGTCATCTGATATCACATTCTGCACCGCCTCCATCTTGCACCTGTGTGTAATTGCGCTGGATCGCTATTGGGCTATCACGCACGCGCTGGAGTACTCAAAGCGCCGCACCATGCGCCGTGCAGGGATCATGGTTGGGGTGGTGTGGGTGATATCTATATCGATTTCCATGCCTCCACTTTTCTGGCGGCAGGCCAAAGCCCATGAGGAGCTTACAGAGTGTATGGTGAATACAGATCAGATCTCTTACACCCTATACTCCACCTTCGGCGCCTTCTACGTTCCCACAGTGCTTCTCATCATCCTCTACGGTCGGATTTACGTTGCAGCCCGCTCTCGCATTTTTAAGACACCGTCGTCGTCTGGGAAGCGTTTCACCACAGCGCAGCTAATCCAGACCTCTGCAGGGTCCTCTCTCTGTTCTCTTAATTCCTCCTCCCACCACGAAGCACACCTACACTCTGGCAATGCGGGAGGTGTGGGAGGAGGAGGGGGAGGGTCGCCTCTGTTCATGAACAGCGTGAAAGTCAAGCTGGCAGACAACGTGCTGGAGAGGAAACGTCTGTGTGCAGCACGGGAGAGGAAAGCAACCAAGACACTGGGCATCATCCTGGGCGCATTCATTGTCTGTTGGCTTCCCTTCTTTGTTGGCACGCTTGTCATGGCGATATGCAAAGAGTGCTGGTTTGATCCAGTGCTGTTTGACATCTTTACATGGCTGGGATACCTGAACTCCCTCATCAACCCTGTCATCTACACCGTCTTCAACGACGAATTCAAGCAGGCTTTCCAAAAGCTCATCAAATTCAGACGGTGCTCCTGAAAAAAAGACAAGCGTGGATTAAAACTGGCATATCCAGTGAAAAAAAATGGAGCGAAAAAGGCAAAACAAAAACAATAGATAATAGTCAGAGTGGAACTACTGTGCAAAAAATGTACCATCTTGATAAATGTGATTTTTTAAAAATACATTAAATATCTGTGCATAGACCTTTAGATACCTACAGTATTTCAATTATAAAGACTTGTGCATGCATCCTACAAAAAGGATCCCACCCCCCCCCCACCCCCCCCACCCCCACCTTTCCAGGACTTTGCGATGTGCCAGAATTCCCACACCTAAGACAAACTAAAAAAGAAGTTTGGGAAATCTATTTAATATGAGAGAGACATCATTGTTATTTCTTGGAGCAAGAAAAGCTTCTACACAGATAAGGACCAGAGTGACTGTTTGGAAGGAGCAAACTCTGAGCGACTGAATTCAATCGAGCCAAAAAAGAAAAGCCATGAAATGTATGTTGTCTTCATCTCTGTGTCACACTGTACGCTGCTTCTCCTATGTACTGTAAAGTTTCTGTGGAACAGTAAAGTACTTAGAAAGACTCCAACTTCTAAAGGCTCAGAAAAGCTTTGTCCATGTATGCAAATGTGCATTAAATGTGTCTGCTGGTGGTGGGAGCTCTGTGCGCGCGCATGTGAGTAAAGGTAGACGTGTTTGAAGAAGAAGTGAGGATTTTGAAAAGGAAACTGCATTTCAAGTCCAAATATTAATTCAGGTTTTTGTGATGGATTACACGTGCTTCATTTCCACCAAGGCATAATAGCTATAGTAGTCGTGCATGTATTTCCCCATTCATGTTTTAGAAACAAACAAATGAAAAACAGATCTGACATGTGATTTGACCATGACGAAACAGTAAAACGATAAAATAAAAAGATGACTAAAAAAAACAACTTTTTATGCACACTCAAAAGAAATTCTGCCCAAAATAATGACTTGAACTAATTTGGTTATAACTTTGCTACGAGTACAATGTAAAACGTTACATTTAATGGAATCTGGTTAAATGAAATTTACTAAATTGGTATACACTCAGTTTATACCAAAAACGTTTTCCTTAACAAATAAGCAGCATCAGCATCATTGCTTCATGTTAACTGAGTGAATAAAATTAAAAAGTGTAAAAAATTCAACAATGAGGGATTTCCTTGTTGATAGATGTGAAATTATGTGACTCTACAGTTTTATATTCTGTTTATTTTGTAATTTATTGATGAACACAAATACAGGCCTGATTTCCATGACTGATTTGCAAACTTTTAGAGAATCCCTGAGCTCCCTACCATGAGGAACAGCACAAGGTGGACAGACTGCTGGCTATACAAGTACATATTTGTGGTAGCTTCACTTTGTCTCTAGATCAGTCTGACAATGATTGGATGGATCGCCCAGCGTAATGGACAGTCTTTGAAGATATTATGCTGAACCACCAGCTCAGACCCTTAAAATGAATATATTATTTATGTGCAATTTATTTGTTTACATTTCCTGAGTGTGCTTTTTGATACTTCAGCTCATTGTGCAGCAGAGTAAGGCTCTCTTACTGCGAAATGTATTTTTAATGAAATGCTTCTTTTTTGTTGAGCTCAGCAA